GAGAGAGAGAGAGAGAGAGAGAGAGAGAGAGAGAGAGAGAGAGAGAGAGACAAAGACAGAGACAGAAAGAGAATGAGAATGGGAGATTGAGGGATTACCTATAGAGAAGAAATAATTTAGACAATATAGATGCTTCGGTAGAAAGAGTATAGACTGTCAGATACAGACAGAAGTTCAGGGAGATGCCCAGAAGCAAGACTTAGACACCAGCTAGGCAGGCCCAGGACCCCTCCAGGTCACTACACCTTCTCTTTCAGCTCATCTGTTCTCCAGGACCAGCCCTGCCCTTCCAGCTGGGGCCCAGACCCAGGCCCCAGGAGGCCATGCCCCAGTCCCGGAGAAGCTGCCCGGCCACCTGTCCTCCTTCCCTGGCCTGGTGGGGCCTGGCTTTGGGGCAAGACTGAGCCACAGGGGAAGGGGGAACTCATACCTGCTGCTGCTTCCTCTGTCTCGGCTAACCTCTGTCCCCCCTGAACCCGTAACCATACCCTAAGAGCTCTCAAAGCTTGAGATCAAGGCCATTTGGCTCTGGCTTCCCACCTGGCCCTGCTGTTTCCAGTGCGTGTTATTTATTACCTAGAGGCCTGTCCCACCCCACCCCCATAAAGCATTGTTTACACCCGTGTTTTGGCCTTTGTCATTTTGGGTTGTTGGGGAGAAGTCCCTGAGGGAAGAATCATGGGTCATGGTGTGGGGATACCTTGAGGATACACCATGGTTCCCAGTGTCTAATTTGTGAGGTAATTTGTGGGTGTCTAATTGATCATTGTGTGCACACTTTGCAACCCGGGTGCTTGAGGCTCCTGTGCATGACACGTCCCTGTGTCACGTGTATGAGTCTTCCCAATACCCGTGTGTCAGATGAAACATACGATTACACTGTTGAGTGTGAGTACTCTGTGTCCTTGGTGACTGTGTTAGTGAGGCTGTTGTGTGGGACACCAATGCCAACGAACGGGAATCTGGCCTGTGAGAGAACTTGGTTCTTTATATACCTTGACCCATGCATGTCTGAAGTTGAGAGTCTTGGGCGGTGGCTCACTACTGTGGTGTGTTCCTGTGCACTTGTGTCCCTTCTGTCCCTGTGTGTCCCTTCTGTCGCTGTGTTTTGGTGAGAATCTGCCTCCTTATTTAGAGTGTGTGACCTAGCACCTTCTGTGTGCCCTTCAGGACTGTGGGCCTTTGGCAAACCCTAAGTCTTGTATACCTTTGAGAAGGGTGTGCGCTGCCTTGTGCACAGGTAACTTGCTGGTGCCTTCATGTGATCTGCCAGGGAGAGTGCATACCCCACAGGACCATCTCAGCTGCTCTCCCACAAGGTCAGCAGTATCCAGACCCCACAGGATGCCCGAGTCCAGCCTCGCCCTGCTTTGTCTGATCCTAGGTGGAGGGGTGGGACCTTCAAGATGACCTTATCTACACAGACCTCAGGAGAGGTGGCCCAAATGTTGAGAGACTGGATAGTTCACTCAAATGTATTCTCTGCATAGCTGTTCTAAGTTGCATTATTCTGTTCCCATATTTGTCCTGAACGGGCAGGGCAAAGCAGGTCATTGAGATGTGACACATTTGCACATACATCTGTTCCAGTGACCGTTAAGAACATACCTTACTCTGTCCCCCTCCGTTATAAAAAGTGGTTATGTAAATTACTGATGTGCCAATTTACCCACATTTTCTGCCTGCGGCCATTACTCAACATCCCTGTTTTGGGTTGCAATGAGGTGCTCCCTATGTAAATGATGATTTGCATATTGTTCCCGGAGGCCCGTAATTCCACAGCATTCGCCCGAGGGGCGGATTCCTCAGGTAATCTCGTTTGCATGCCCCTCCCACGCGCCTGTTTAACCCGCATAGACACGCCCCTTCCCCATTCGGACCCTTTAACCGCATTCCTCCCACGGTACCAAAGAGGCGGGGTGAGGAATGCAAATAAGCTCGAGTGGAGGACGGGTCCACTTTTCCTTTCTCCGAGGGGTGTTCAGAAAAATTTCACCCCGCCCTACGGATTCGCGCTTGCGCAGGCACCGTCTTTTACAGCCGGGTGTGGTCACGTGCCTACTGGGCGAGGCGGGGGCGGGGTATGGCGCGCTGTGCGGCGCAGGGCGGCTGGCACAAACGGCGGCGCCGGGGCCGGAGAAAAAGCTCGGTGAGGAGGTCGCCGGAACGGAAGGGACGGGGGAGGCAGAGGAGCCAAGTCCGAATGCCGGCCCGCTCGGGCTGTGATGTGGAGGCGCGCGCGGGCGGGCCGTGGCGACCCGGGAACGGAGTGGGGGTGGGGGAGGAAGCGCGCGCCAGGCACGTTGGGTGCAGGCCTGGGGGGGGGGGCGAGCGCGCGCCCGGGGGAGACCGAGGGGCGGAGCTTGGGCCGGAGCGGCTCTAGGCCGGCCGGGAGGCCACCGTCGGGAGGCTTCGCCGGGGCTCGGGAGCTGGACGCCGTCTCGCTGGGCCTTTCCGCCAGTGCGCGAGCCCCTTGACTTTCCCTGGGTCGCAATGGATCCTTCTCCCGGGCGCCATTCCGCCTGTCCGTGTGTCTCCGGACCTCCCTTCCCGTCTGGGTGTGTGTCCGCCCCCAGCGGACTTCCTCCGGTTGGGCGCAGGTCGACCCTTGGGGTCTGACCACCTCAGGCCTTCCCTCCTCGCTTCCCTACTGTCCGTTTTTCTGTTTCTGAGGTACCCATCCTCTTTGTTTCTGGACTCCCCAGTTTCCTGCTCCTAATCATTCCCAACTCTTGACTTTGTTCATAACCCCCATTACCGTTCTGTAGATCCCCACTTTTTTGTGCGGCTTTTGCGCCCCCAGGAAAATCCCTCCTACTCCTCTCACCCTTCCACTGTTTGTTTTCTGCTCCAGCCCCTGTACCTCTTTGCAGTTACTTTTCCTTTCTCCCCCCAAACTGCTTTTCTGTCTTTGGTCATCTACCCAGCCTCTCTTCTGGCTCTTCCCCTGCACTGCCCTATGCCTGCCAGCTGCACCCCCTCTAATTTTCCGAGTCTTCTCTTGTAGTTGGTCTCAAGTCGTGTGTGTGTGTGTGTGGGGGGTCACTAGCCCAGTCTGCCTTAGTCACCCCTCTTTTGTTTCTCTGCAGCATACCCACCTTATCCCCTAGTTTGCCTGTTTCTAGCTGCTCTCACATTCCTTTTTTTCCTCTCCAGCAACCCTAAGCATCTAGAGACAACAGTGGACTTGGGGACCAGCAAACACCCCTAGGGCACAAGAGGAGTTCCTGCTGCCTCACCCTGCTTTGCACCAGGCCCGGCGACCCCCAGCTACATTAAGTGGAAGAGAAGAAGGAGGAGGAGGAGCTGGGTGGCACCATGGGCCCGGGCCGTGCCCTCCATGCCCGGGGGATGAAGACACTGCTGCCATGGACAGCCCGTGCCAGCCGCAGGCCCTGAGTCAGTCTCTCTCTCAGTTGCCAGTGTCTGTGTCAGAGCCCTTGGAGCCTAGCCGGTCCAGGATGGGGGTGGAGAGTTACCTGTCCTGTTCCCTGCTTCCCTCCTGCCACCATCCAGGAGTGTCTGGTGAAGCCTCAGCGGGGAGTGGGACCCTCAGAGCTGCAGCCACCTCTACCACTGCCAGCCCCCTGCGGGAGGGTTTTGGTGGTCAGGATGGTGGTGAGCTGTGGCCATTGCAGAGTGAAGGTGCTGCGGCGCTGGTCACTAAGGAGTGCCAGCGACTGGCAGCTCAGGGTGCCCGACCTGAAGCCCCAAAACGAAAGTGGGCAGAGGATGGTGGGGATGCCCCTTCACCTGCCAAGCGGTCTTGGGCTAGGCAAGAGAACCAGGAGGCAGAAGGGGAGGGTGGCATGGGCAGTGGTAGTGGCAGCGGCAGTGGCAGTGGAAGCAGCAGTAGTGGTGAAGTTAGTGCTAGGTTGAGGGAGGAAGCCCTGCCTTCTGCACCTGAACGCTTGGCCCTGGACTATATCGTGCCTTGTATGCGGTACTACGGCATCTGCGTCAAGGACAACTTTTTGGGAGCAGCACTGGGTGGCCGTGTGCTGGCCGAGGTGGAGGCTCTGAGGTGGGGTGGGCGCCTGCGTGATGGGCAGCTAGTGAGTCAACGGGCCATCCCACCGCGTAGCATTCGTGGGGACCAGATTGCCTGGGTGGAAGGTCATGAGCCAGGCTGCTGGAGCATCGGTGCCCTCATGGCTCACGTGGACACAGTAATCCGCCATTGTGCTGGGCGGCTGGGCAACTATGTCATCAACGGGCGCACCAAGGTAAGGCTTGGTAGCACTTTTTTTTTAATCTTTTGAGACAGGGTCTCTTTGTATAGTTGAGGCTCACCTTGAAGTCACTGTAACCCAGGCTGGCCTCGAACTCTCAGTGATCCTCCTGCTTTAGCTCTTTTATTTATTTATTTATTTGTGTGTGTGGCCAGCTCAGCCCGCCTGGGGGTGGGGCTGGCTGGCATGTGGTACTGGGGGATTGAACTGCGGTCCATGTGCGTTGCTAAGCTTGTTCTAAGTAGGTGCTTTAGACCACTGAGCCATCTCACCAGCCCTGCTTTAGCTCTTGAGTACTGTGTGCTGGGATTTCAGGTGGTACTACGTTTGTTGAGTATCCAGTACTCTGGTAACAGTAGTGTTGGGGAGAGGCTTCTGTGCCCACAAAAAGGTTTAGGCAGCTGTAGCTGAGGGGTGCATGCATCTATGGGGGCTCTGGCAAGGGAGTCTCTGTCCTCCTTATGGGCCTTGACCTTCCATTAATTTCTTGGAGAGTCTGGTGAGAGCTTCTGACACAGCCCCACACTCTACTTGGGTTGTGGTAGGATTCTTGGCTCCAGGTATCTGTTTAGGGGCCCCGCATTGAGAACGGTCAGCATAGACAAGCGTTTCTGTCGTTCTCCATTCTTGTCCTCCTTTTCTGTTGCTCTGACCTTCTATCTGTCCATATTCACTGGTATGTGTTTTCCAGGTAGGAGAATTTAAAAGATGGAAAGGGTTTGGCCAGGGAGATAGCTCAGTAGACTGAGTTCAATCCCTGGTACCACAAAAAAAAAAAAAAAGAAAGAAAGGGTGGCAGTGATGACTGATTCCCCAAGCTCAGGTGGTGGATGCTGCCTACCATGTTGAGTAGCTGTTGTGGGCTACACTGTGCCCTATGGTGCTGCTATGGCATCTGCATTGAAGATGGCATCCAGGGGGTGGCACTGATTGTTTACCTGCTGGCCCAGTTAGAGCTTCTGTCCCCATCTTTCCCACCCGTCTTTGTCCTAGTCCTTGTCTTTGATACTTCTGACCTATTTGTTAACTGCATCCCCCAGAACTAGGGCCAGGATCCCTGCACAGACAGTAGTTCACTGAACCTTTCCAGTCTGCTGATGTGGTTGGTGGTTTTCTTCATAGGAAGGCATGTGAGGGCCCTAGCTTGGAGTCCAAGGCTTGGTATCATTTGGACAAGGCCTATAGGGAATGCCTGCTGTTCAGTATGGGATGCCTAGCTGATTGCCCTGGCTGAGTTCTCTCCTATAGGCGGGAGGCTGTGATCCTGGTATCTCCTTGTCCTTCTCTGAAGTCCCATCTTGAGTTTTGCTTCTGTGCAACTTTCCTCTCAGACTGGAGCTGGTTTGGGGGCCAGAGCTCCCCTGGGGCCCAAGCCTATTTCCTCCCCACCCCAGCTGGAATTTGTCCTACTTCCTTCTCCCTCCTGTTATTTGATAGCTGGACAGCCAGAGCTGGGTCCCTACCCGGGCCTGGCTCCTGTGCAGGCAGGATCACTGTGGCCTCGGCTCAGCTGCTGTATCATGGTGTCACACCTCCATGCAGGAGAGAGGCTTAGGGACATCTAGAAGAGCCAAGTGATCAGAGTGATACAGTGTACTTATCTGCAGAAAAGGAAAACCAGGTTAAGTCCTCCAACTAGTTGGTGGCAGTTTAGGAAAGGAGAGTTGAAATAGATGGCATCCCCTTTGGGAGTTCTGGTTCCTACCTAGCTAGTGATGTGAATAGGACCCAGGCTAAACTGAGTTGTTGGTTGTCCTTAGTGTCCTGGGAAAGAAAAATAAGCCATGCTGGATGAGAAAGAGCAAGTCCTGTTGCTGGAGTTCCTCTCCAGCACCTCCAGGCTCCAGCATCTCTCAGAGGCAGTTCCTGGGCTCCTTCCTGGATTCTGGTGTGTGGCTGATGCTGAGGTGTGTAGTGGCAGTGGAGACAGTCACCTGTATGCTGGCTGCCAGCAGTAACCTTGCTCCTCAGTCATTCCTGAATGTTCTGTTCTGTCTTCCCTCCTCTCCCTGATGTCTGCTCAGTGGACCTGGAACTGAGAGAGTTCATTTCTGCTGGCATCAAGGGCTCCCAGAGGGGACACCAGAGGTGGGCCAGCTAGTTTGATTTGCCCTTTTAGGAGCAGTTTGGAGGTTGGCCTGCTGTCATTAACTAAGTCTCTGGCTTCTGGGTGTGGTTTTTTTTTTTGTGTGTGTGTGTGTGTGAGTGTGTGTGTGAGAGAAAGAGAGAGAGAGAGAGAGAGAGAGAGAGAGAGAGAGAGAGAGAGAGAGAGAGAGAGAGACAGACAGACAGACAGACAGACAGACAGACAGACAGAGGGAGGGGGGTTCTTGGCACATTGTTATCAGAAGCCTTTATAATATTCTGCCTCTTAATTCCATCTCCCTGTTTGCTGAAGTGGAAGTGGAGAGAGCAGGTTCCCTTGTCACTCTGCCTGTTGGCCCTGTAGCTGAGGCTTTCCTGGTGGGGATGGGGTTCAGAGGAGTGCTGTCAGTCAGCAGATAGTGCACTGGGCACTTGTGTGACTGGCTTGGTCCCAGGGGCTTTGATGAGGCTGTGTTTTAGACCAGTGCTGGGTAAACAGGTGCCTCTTGTTGAGAGGAATGACGTGGACAACTAGAGGACTTAAAATGATCCTTCACCTCAGTTCTGAATAACAAGGAGAACAGGAAAGAGTGACCTACACAAGTGTGTAGGCCTTGAGATGCGGATAAGGTCTGTTAAGGTTTAGAGTGGAGTGATGGGGATATAAAGTTGTGGCCTTGGATGCTGTGACTGGAAATTTGTATTTTCTTGGAGTGAGTTGAACACCCAGAGAAAAGGTTCTGTGGCTGCTTTGTAGGGATGGGTTTTGGGGGAAGAGGATGCATGCTACCCTTCACGTGTCCATCCATGTGCAGAGCCAGCATGATCTGTGATTGGAGTCCCAGCTGGGGAGGCTTTTTTCTTCTCTAATTGGTAACTTGTTGATTGCAGGCCACAGGCGCCATGGCCACATTCTTTTCTCCCAGTGAGTGGTTGCTCTCAGTGTCATCCCATCTCTAGGGAGTAAGAAGGACTGTTTTCCCCTGCTGAACCCCTGAGGGCCAGGGCCAAGGCTTTCCTTTGGGTCTTCTCACGTATCCTGGTGGTGTGGAGAGGTCAGCCCTCCACTGCTGTATGGTCTTGGCTGGTGGCAGCCTCCTGGCCTCTTTCCTGGGTAGGTTCTGGGTGGATCAGGTACACATGCTTGATGAAGAGCAGTTTAACATCCATATAAGGGTGAACACTGGAAATACTTGAGACTTTGAGATGGAACCTGGGGGGAGAATGCGGGATTGAATCAGCCTGTGCCTTGGAATCCTTGGCGAGCCTCCTGTTCTCAGCAGCATAGACTGATCCATGTTTTATGATGGGACTGTCCTGGGCCAGGCCTCTGGGTGTAGCTGAGCATTGGTAGGGAACTCGGGGTGGCCCGATCGAGACAGGTGGTCCCTGATGTGGTGAAGCTGAAGGGTCTTCATGCTGGCTAATTGTCCTGTTTACCTAGAACCTCATCCATCCCTCTCAGGAGGTTTGGGGACAGAGTGGGACAGTAGCTTCTCTCCTTTTTCTAGTGGTTTCAGCCTGTACTCTGATTGTCAGTCATGTGGCAGGTACTCTGGTGGGTGTCTTCCCAGACATTTTTCTTTGTTCAGTATTCACAACCACCTGGTAGGTAGTGCATAATGTTAGTTGCCTCCCATGAGTGAGGAGCCTAAGGCAGCAAAATTAAGTCAACTCCCAAGTGTCGCAGCTCATGTAGCAGCACTGAGAGCTAGGTCTCAGTGGTCCCTTTCCACAGAAGTGAGTCTGTAAGAGTGAGTAGGTCTTTTTTTTTTTTGCACCATGACCACTTTTTTTATTATTTTAATTTTTTCTTTTTTAATTTTTGAGTCAGGGTCTCACTATACAACTCAGGATGGCTTTGAGCTCACTTTGTAGTGTAGGCTGGTCTTGAACTCGCAGTGATCCTTATACCTCAGCCTCCCGAGTGCTGGGATTACAGGCATGTACCACCACACATGGCTGTAGCCACCTTTCTGTTAGCTAGTGATGACAAACATCTCAGGGCCCTTGGGCAGTGAAGTCAGGGCTGGGCTGGGGAGTGGTAGTGTCAGAGTAAGCAGGAACTTAAAGTAAGACCTGGATCGAGTCCTAGCTATTAGATCTTGGTGGCATGGAACTTCCAAAGTTACATTCTCAGAGGGGCTAATGCCATTATTGCAAAGGGATGTTTATTAGCCCCATCCTTTAGTTACAGTAGTTGAGGTCCATTCAGATGAAGTGACTGTCCCAAGCAAGTTAGATCCTTCTTTCAGACTTCAGGATTTGGTTTCTGTTCATATGTGTGGGGGCACAGATCACTCACTTAGCTGGATTATTTTGCACTCAGGAGCAGTAGTTCTCAGCATAGCATCATGCTGCAGTAGAATTACCTGAAGAGCCTTTAAACAACACAGGACCCACGTTAATCTAAGCCCAGTCCATTAGAACATTTGATGTGAGGTGGGCCTGGGCCTCAGTGTCTCAGAGGTCCCAGGAGAGTCCACTCTGCAGCCAAGGCTGAGAGCCTGGCCTTGGGCAGTGAGGCTGTGGTCTGTATACCAGAAAATACTTAAACCGGCTTCTGGTCTACTGAAATGTCTGAGGTAAGACTTGGATCCCCTACTTGGGTGGCTTGTCCTGGGTGTGAATTGAAAGTTGGCTGGACTGTGAAACTGAATTTTCTGATGGACCCGAAAACAGTTGTAGCCAAAATAGGAGAAAGTCTGTTGGAGGCTGGAGCCTAGGATGCTCAAGAAATCAAGGAAGGATGACAGGACGCGGTGAGCTGCTTCCCAGGATGTCCTTGCCTAGCCTCAGTAAACCGCCTTCCTTCATCTTTGCCAGGCCATGGTGGCGTGTTACCCAGGCAATGGACTGGGGTACGTGAGGCATGTTGACAATCCCCACGGCGATGGGCGCTGCATCACCTGTATCTATTACCTGAATCAGAACTGGGATGTTAAGGTAGGCGGGTAGGGCAGTGTGCATCCACTCCATTGTACTTTCCTCAGATTCTAGCCCGTTCCTCTTCTCAGCTCATGGGAGTGGTTTTATAATCTTTGGGGCCTTCCTGTTAAATGGGACCTCCTTTTCCAACAGGCTATGGTGAGAACTCTGCTTTGTGGGAGTGGTGTTGACTGCCCATAAATACACTCCCCCCTTTCCTGTGTTTAGTAGCTTCCTGCCTATCTCCATGGCGATGCACACTCTGGACTGTCATTCATTTTAAGAGCCTGAGTGGTGGGAGGGAACCCTGTGTTTGTCTGTGCTGCACCCCCTGGTGGGCACCTGGGTGCAGTGCAAGATGACTTCTCCAGGCTGAACTGCCAGCCTCATTCTCTGGCCTGTCCTCAGGTGCATGGTGGCCTTCTGCAGATCTTTCCTGAGGGCCGGCCTGTGGTAGCCAACATTGAGCCACTCTTTGACCGGTTGCTCATTTTCTGGTCTGACCGAAGGAACCCTCATGAAGTGAAGCCAGCCTATGCCACCAGGTATGACCCATACTTCTGGGGATGTGCTCAGGTGCTCCCGCTGCCAAAGTTTTCTAAGACCCCCCTGAATGAAATGTTTGGGGCCAAGGTGGGCACAGAACAAGGTGGCTCAAAAGGGTGGACTGAGTCATTGTGGAGGTGCTAATTGGAATTGCAGAAAACTGATCTCACCTGCCCTGGTCCCCAGGTATGCCATCACTGTCTGGTATTTTGATGCCAAGGAGCGGGCAGCAGCCAAAGACAAGTATCAACTAGGTACCTGCTTTCTCCTGTCTTGTGTCTTTTGTACTCCCAGCAGGCCTCAAGCCACCCATCCACTTCATTGTAATACCATCCCCCGTATCTAACCCAGGCCTTGTGCATGTTGGGCATATACTGAGCTACATCCACATCCTCCCCCTGTCAGTTTCTTAGTCCTTCCACTCATTCATCCTCATTTTCCTTAGCCTTCTTGTGCCTTGCCATGAGCCCTGTTTCATCCTGATCCTCTCCCCAGGTTACCTTTGACCTCTCATTCCTTCCCTGATGACTCACATTTTCCTGTCCTCTTGCCCTCAGCGTGTGGACAGAAAGGTGTCCAGGTTCCTGTATCACAGCCGACCACACCCACCTAGTGGCCAGTCCCAGAGCTGCATGGACCGACTGCTCACCCGACTTCAGGAGAGCCCTGGGCCCCCAGCAGCCTGCCAGTCTGGGTGCCTGCTCCTTTTCTGCCTCTGCTGCTGCTTCTGGCTTGCCTCTGTCCTACCTGGTGTGGAGGGCTCTATGCTTCGATGAGGACCAATGTGGAGAGACCTCTGCTGCCCCCTGAGGGAGGCTGAGTTGTGACATGGACAGTAGCCAGCATTGGGGGCCACCATTGCTGAAGCTCAAGACTTGTGTTCTGTCCTGTCTGGTCATTACCCTACTGGATGTGGAGATCTGGGAGGCAGGATTTTGGGTTGAGGTGAGTCATGGCCTCTTGCTGGCAAAGATTTGGGGTGGGAGGGGAGTAACCCCAAGTCCCCCCAACCCAGTTCTTCCAGCCTGGAATGTGAAGTGACTCCCCAACCCTTTTGCCTCTGGCACCCTTCAGACTAGGCTGAAGCTTCTTGGGCAGAATGAGATACTGGGAGGAGCATGGGTGTGAAAGTCCTGTCAGCCAAGAAATAAAAGTTTACCTCAAAGCTGCACACAGTGGACTCCATGTCTATAATGAGACCTCTTCCACTTGCTGTATGGGGCCTCTTCTTACCAGGAATTGAGATATTGAGGTCTTGTGAAGCTTGCCTTGGCTGAACTTGGTGGGCCACCAGGCAGAACTTAAAGATTGGAGGGACAGTGCACAAGCCTATGCCTTGAGGGATTAGGTCGTCCCTGGTGGAACTTTCCACAGGAACAGGTTAGAACTTCAGCAGGGTGACTGTGGAAGAGGAGGATTTCCAGGCCATGCCTGTTTCCAGGCCCATCTCCTTTAGGGGGGATGTGAGTGCATGGTGTACTCTTAATGTTCCCCAGGGCTGGTCCAGGTTGGTCCCCTCCCCTTGGGCCCTGAAGTCAGAGGAAGTTGGTGGAGTTGAAAGCATGCAGCTTCTTGAATCAAATTGTGTGGGGTCTCAGTGCAGTTATGCAAGCTGGGGAGTCATGAAGGTGCCCTAGGGAATATGCAGTTCATGTTGCTGGAGTGTGCGGGCCTCTTCCAAGGCCCTTTGTATTTGTTTTAAGATAAGGTCTTGACATGTTGCTGAGACTGGCCTGCAACTCCTGGGCTCAGAGATCCTGCTTCAGTCTGCTGAATAGCTGGGATTACAGGTGGGCCTGCCTTCTTTTTTGCCTCCAAGGTTGCTGCTTGTGTTTTAGTCAGCACTGCCCATGCAAATTCAAGCTAATCTGAAACAGATTTTTATGCTCTTGGCTCTGGGGTTTCCCATCAAATCCCAGGCTTTGTATGTGCCTGCGGCAGAAAGTGGCTCCACAGGTGGGCATCGGTAATGTGGATGCATGGCAGCTTCAGTGGCAGGTTGTTGATGAAACGTTCGGTCTGAATTGGGATAGGGTATGTGTGAGACTCATCCCATCTGTGATAGTATTCAGCTTTGGCTGTGGTCAGCAGAGGCTGTGAGATGCCCACCGTCTGGTTAGCCAGCCATCTTCCAACCCTGGTATCTCACCTCAGGTGTCTGTCTTTCAGACATGACCCATGGGTACTTGAACAGAAAGAAGCCCATAGTGCAGAGTGGTCTTGTCCCACCTAAGAAGAGGCCTTGTATTGTCATCACTGGCATCACCTTGGAAGCAGCTTGCTGGATCCTCCAGCAGGCAGAGAGGTGCTTCCTCTTGCAGATACCTGGTGAGCAGCATGGATGGTATTGAAGGTAGCAGGGACCTGTTCCTTATCCATCTGGTCAAGGAAGCAGTCTCTTCAGACTGCCTCACTTGCTGATGTAGCCACATTTTCTCAGACATGAAGTTCTTTAAGATTTCCAGTGATGCAGCCCCAGCAGCCAGTCTAGGAAAGAAGGGAAAGTTTGTATCTGGGGAACAGTTCAGTAGGGTCTTAAGCAAGGCTACTAGGCCTTGGTTTCCCAGTAGGGAGATTGGATCATGACTTTGTGGGTTCTAGGATGCTTCCATTTTGAGGATCTTAAGCTGCCCCTTTCTAGGGTTATGACTATGTGCTCCGGTTTATCATAGGTTGGGCACAATTACAGGTTGGAGCCAACCTTCACCTCACCTGTTCTGGAACAGATGTGAACCTTGTCATGTAAGAGCTTCATAGCTGGGTGTGGTGGTGTATGCCATACAGCACTTGGGAGCCTGAGGCAGGAAGATTGCTGGGAGTTTGAGGCCAACCATAACTACACAGCAAGACCCTGTTTCAGAAAACAACAGCTTTAGGAACTCTGGGTAGCCATATCTGTAGTGGTTCCTGAAGACCATGAAACAGATTACATTGGATACAGCAGCAAGTGTGAGGCCAATCTGACTTGATAGTGAGACCCTGTCTCAAAAAAAAAAAGGCCAAGCTGTGTAGCTGGCCATTCTACATCCTGGAAACACCCCCTCGTTGGCTGGATACTTTTTTTTTTTTTTTTAATACTTATTTGTTTGGTGCAGGGTCTGGCTGTGCAGCTCAGACTTGTAGTGATCCTCCTTTCTCAGCCTCCCCACTACACCCAGTTTTGATGGTCAGCATGTTGTACCTGGGGGTCTTACCTTTGTGTTGACCCCACCTTTTGTGATCCTAATCTCTGACCTGTTTGCTCTTTTTAAAACTTTGACTCTTAGGGTCTTCTTTCCTGCTCTCTGCACTGTAAACCTCAGTCGGGTCCCTCCACTCTGTCCCACCCTTCTCACCATTGGCCCTTGATGGCTTCCCATTCTCCGTTAAGCCTTACCTCCCATTCCTGGCTCCACTCTATCCTCGCTTCCATCTGGGCCTCACCATTTCCACATAAGAAGCATTCTCAGACTCCTAAGATCCAGTGGCCAGAGAAGGTATGTATGTAGTACCCGAGTATCCTGTAGTCATATTACAGCAGGCTGCAGTCCAGCCACACTGGACAGTTCTGGTAGTGGGAGTGCTCTGGGAGCTGGTGCACAGATGTCCAGGCTCCTGATCCTCTTGCTGTGGCCCTCATGTTCTTTTTCCCTTAGACCCAGAATCTTCATCTCAGCCTTTTAGTCTCAGAGGTAGAGGTTCAGATCCTCAGCTCCTTCTTCCTCTGAACCCAGGAGTCCAGGCCCGTGACCTTCACTGAGTGAACTGGGTGTTCTAACCCCTAACCTTCCCTGCGTGTGTCCAGAATTTCATTTTCCCGTCTGCTGGGGCTGCTTCCAAGAGTGCAGGGTTCAGGCTTCCAGACTTCAGCTACAGGCTCCCCTGTACTGGGAGCAGTGTAGGTGCGGGGGTTAGCCTCTCTGCATCTGAGTGTCTTAGACACCCCAAAATCACCACACACAGGAGCATGAGGAGCTATAGCAGCAGCACTGTGATCATTGTGCCCAAGATTGTCTACCCCTTAGTCTCTCCATCGTGATTTGATTTCCATGGGGCTTGGTTGAAGCAGGGGTGAAAGCTGAATGTGGGAAGTGCGAGTGAGTGCCTGTGAACTGCCCACTCCAGATTCCTCGAAGAGATTTCCCCTTACCTCAGTCCTAGCGCTTCTGTGCCCTGGCCCCCTGGCTTTCTATGTGTCTCTGCACATGTGTACCTGATGTTTTCACATCAGCTCACTTGGCCAGGTGCACCCTCCTAAGCCCAGAGTACTTTTGGGCCCGTCTTCAGTCTAGGTGTGTAATCCCTTTACCACTTTCGGCTAATGCCCACAAAGGACCTATTTTGTGTCACTGATTCCTAAACACACATGGAAAGGTAACCTCACTCATGTGCCCTGAGCCCTCACTACTTCCATTCTTCTTCTTCTTCTTTTTTTTTTTTTTTGCAGTACCGGGGATTGAACTCAGGACCTTGCGCTTGCCAGGCAAGCACCTGTTCTACTGAGTTATCTCTCCAGCCCTTCCATTCTTCTTGCAACCCTGTGTGCTGCACCTGTTCGTTCCCCTGACCGGAATCTCAGCCTGGTACCCATTCTGTGACTCTGGGTGGCTCCTGTGTTTCAAACTTCCTTTCCCTCTGCATATGCCTTGTTAGGAGCTGCCATCTCTGTTCTCAAGGCTCTGGTTCCTGGATGCCCCCAAGTGAACCTGCTGCTGCACTCCGTGGTCTCCTGTCCCCCAAGTTTCCCAGAAGGCACCCTTATCAAAGGTCAGGTCATGATGGTGGACAAAGTTTATCCCTCGTTCTCCCTCCCCTTGCTGTAGGGCATACGCTGGAGGGGCCAATGCAGGCCTACGTGGGGCCTGGGTCAGCACTGAGACTGACTTGGTGCTGCTGTCTGCACTGCCTGTGCAGCTTCCTGCCTTCCTGCCTTTCTCGCCCACTCCAGACTCTTGCTGTATTTTCTCCTACCAGGCGTGGGGTCCGGGGGCAGAGTCTGCGGCTGGCCTTGTTTATGGGAATATCTCAGCATTTCTGTCGGTCTTTGTGGTCTTTGTTTCAGTTCCCCCCCTCCCCCCCAGTCTGTTTCCTGCTCATCTTGTCCTGTGTATCCCTTGCTCTGTGTATTTTCCCTTAGTCTCTACCTGTTACTCCTCACTGACATGAGTGTGTCTGTCTGTCTAGTCTGCTTGACCTCACTCTCCTCTGTGCTTCCCATCTCTGCTTCTGCAGACTGTTCTGAGCTGTTAGCCTGCCTTTTTTCCTTTCCCTTCTCATTTTCTTGAGACTGAACCCAGCATTTTTGCACTGAGCTACATCCCCAAGATCTCCTCCACTTAAAAGAATTGTTTTTAAACTTTTGAGACGGTCTTGCCAAGTTGCCCAGAATGGTCTGAAGCTCATGATCCTTATGCCTTGGCTTCCCAGAGTGCTGATAATATAAGCATGGGTCTTCTTCCCTGTCACCTGTCAGCCTTTTTCTGTAGGAGCCAGGTGACTGGCAAGGGCTGAGGATAGGACTCACTGAGAAGTACTGACTTTGCTGAAGGTTGGGGTGCATCTGGGTGCAGTGAGCTGTGCCCTCTAGCCCGCCCCACCTGTGGGTCAGACTCTGTGATGGGTCTTCTGTCTTTAGGGTCTGGCTTTCTTGCCAGCTCCTGTCTCTTGTTTGTTTCCTCTTGATTGGACTGCCTTCTGGAATACAAACTCCTGGTGATGCGAAGCTGTAATCCTAGCATTCTTGGAGGCTGAGGCTGGAGGATTAGGTACGTTTGAGACCAGACCCGATAAACTTAGTGAGACCCTGTATCATAATGAACAAAGGGGCTGGTGATATATCTCAGGCTCTGGGTTCAGTTGTCAGTACCAAAAAACCAGTTTGTTTATATCTGTACCCCAGCATCTAAAACAGTGCCCAGCATGTAATAGTGGCTCAGTAAATATTTGAATTTGCTGAGTGGTTGTATAACTCTCATTCTTGTTTCTGTCTCTCAGACTCACTTTGTCTCCCCAGTCTACCATTTTCCTTCTTTTTCTCTGAAGTCTCTCATCTCTCCTTTTTTATTTTGAGGATCTCACAAAATTGCCTAAGCTTGTTTCGAACTTGTGATTCTCCTGCTTCAGCTGCCTGGGTAGCTGTTTGCAGGTGTAGGCCACTGAACCTGGCTTTGATGCCTCTCTTAATTTGTTTCTGTGTTAGAATCTTGTCTTTCCTCTCCCTTTGCATGTATATCTTCCTTTTCTCAGTGATTCTTTGTCCCTGTCACACTTTTTCTTTGTATCATTTCCAGTCTTGGTTTTGCAGGGTCTGTGCCTGCTGTCTCTTTGTCTTGTCTCCATCTCTTTTTCAGTGTTTCTGTCTGAGTCTCACCTTCTCCCTCCACCTCTTGGTACCTGCTCAGCCCTGGAGCAGACAGGTCCACCTACTGAGATTAAGGAACTGATGCCTCATATGAGGCACAGAGCACTGTGACTTTGGGGAGATGCCTGGTACTTCTCAGATGAGAAAAGCTACTGTCAGTAGAATGGCAGGCTGTTACATTGCATTGGGGCCAGGTCCTCACCCCAAAGGAAGGAACTGCGGGGTAAGGAAACAGTGCAGCAAGAAGAGTAGGGGGTCGGGATAGTCTGCCTGCCTGTGCCTTGCTACCACATCCATTTCCCCCCTCCTGTTTTTCGCCTTTTCCTTCCACTTCCCTGCCCTTTCTCAACCTCATTCTCTCTCCCTCACCCTTTCACTTCCCATTCCTGTCTCTGCCTCTGTCTTCCTCTGTCTCTGACTTGTGAGATTGAAAGGTAGTGATCACATTGGTGAGATCCAAGTGCTCCCCATCTCTGCTATGTCATCTTGGGCAAGACACTTCATCTTTCTGAGCTTCAGTTCACGCTTCTGTAAATGTGATAAAAATTCTGCTTTGCCTCACAGGGAGATTTAGAGGAAGCTTTTAGAACTGTGTGAATAGGAAGCACCATGTAAGCATAACCTTTCTCTGGCCCTCACTGTCTTGCTTGCTCCTCTCAGGGATCCCTGTTTCTCTGGGATGCCGTCCTTTGTCTCTGGCTGCTACAGTCTTTACCTTCAAGCCTGTCTCCAGGAAACCATTTCTGCTACTGTAGCCACCGTGAAGGGGATGGTACTGCACTAGCCACAGGTGTCTTCTCCCCTCTGCAGCCACTTCTCTCCCCACCCTGACACCGCCCTGCTCCCATTAATGCAGGCTAGACAGGTTAGAATCTATAACAAAGATAATTTGCTAGAAAATGATCCAAAAAGCCCAACACAAGGTGCCTCACAGAACAAGTTCTGTTGGTACAAGACACCTTTCCCATTCCCCTTGTGTTTCTTCGCGTGCAGGTGGGATTCAGAGAGGAGGGATGAAGGCCAGGCACGTGGCAGGCCCAGGGTGCAGGGAAGAGAATGTGACAGCGAGGCGGCTGAGGGCTGACCAAGGAACCAGAAGAGGGGCAGAGTGGCCCAGGCGCGGGCCTCGACGCTCACAGGCGAGACGGAGGGTCGGGGCATCAGCGTGCACTAATGCACATCTCGAAAGGCCGAGGCAAATTGCCCAGACCAGAGCTGAGTGGAGTCAGGTCGATGTCCTCGGGTGCCACCAGCGGCTGCAATGTGAAGTTCTGCAGGATGGCGGTGAGGAAGAGGAAGAGCTCCATTCGTGCCAGCGACTCGCCCATGCACAGTCTGCGCCCTGTAGTGGCATGGGGGGGGAGGGGAGAGAGAAGGGGTGAGAGGCTGCACCTAGCTCCTCAGACGAGACCCTGATATGAAGATGGAGATGCTTTAAGCAAGAAAACAGAATGAACTGTTCCCCAGCAGTGCAACCACCCTGGGCTCACATCCCGTCTCTGTTAAGGTTACTTTTGTGCTCAAATTTATGAATGCCAGGTCAGGTGGCACATGCTTGTGATCCCAGCATTCTGGGAGGCCAACCTGGGCTACAAAAGTGAGCTCAAGGCCAGCCTGAACTGCATAGTGAGACCATGTTTCAAAAAGGGAAAGAAAAAAAAAAAAAGGAAATTTCTGAGTATTTGAAATAGAGATGCTACTGGTACCTCATGAGGTTGTGATAATGACATGCAGGTACAGTGGGGAGGATGGTTCTTAAGTGACTCTTCCATGCTGTACTGTACACTCTTAAGCTTTTAATGAAACCCTGCTCTTAACCACTAACAATTCCAGAAGGTAGGTGCAGTTTATAGATGTATCTTTTTTTTTTCCAATGTATTTGGTTGTTATAGGGTCCCACAGTTCAACTGTGACTTGGTGATCCTTCTGTTTTTCAGCCTCCACAGTGCTGGGATTACAGCCGTGTGCCGCTAGGCCCAGACTCTGTGGCCCACTCAGCCCGCACTTGCTAAGCTTGCCTAAGCAGGCGCTTTAGTCCTCTGAGCTGTCTCACTAGCTTCTATAGATGTAGAAATTGAGGCTCAGAGAAGTGAAATAACATGCATGGCCCCCCAGCTGCCCAGCTTTTAGCCACCACCTTTGTAGCTCAGAGGCAGCCTGTGGCATGGAGTATGGAGTATTGGAATTTACCAACACCCCGTCCCCCACCCCCAATTTTCCTGCGGAGCCCAGAAAAACGGGAACTAGGCCTACTGTGCCACCTAGTGGAGAGGCTCATGAACCCTCCCAAATCAGTTTATCTACCTTCTCCACAAGATTATAATCTTGATTTACCCAGGAGCTGAGTTGGGAGAGGGAATGAATGAAAGTGAATAATGAATGAGTGTTCATCCAAAGTTGAGGATGGGGATAGGATGAGAGGTGAGAAGTTTGGCTAGTGTTACACTGTTTCCTGCCCTCACCAGCTGAGAAGGGCATGAAGGCAGAGCTCTTCTTGAAGGACTGATTGGCATCCAGAAAATGCTCAGGGTTGAATTCCTGGGGCTTCTGGAACTGGCTGGGGTCATAGTGCACAGTGTTGAGGAGGGTGATGACATCCGTGCCCTGTATGGATGAGGAGGTGGTGTTAGGATATAGAGCTGCTCGGAGGTTTCCAAAATAGGCCTACTCTACTGCCCAGAGGTCCTGGTGACAAGAAAGGGTGGGGTTGGGGGCAGCAAAGGACTCCTCTGGACTTTCCATGATGTGTACTGCAAGCTGGTGGGGAATCTTTTTCTCACAGAAACGTCAGATTTCTGGGAGGTGGAGAGGTCTCTGCAGACAGTGCCACAGGGATTCTCAGGATGAAGTTCCAGAGCCCAGGGATTTCAGAGAGGGGACTAGAAAGGGGAATTGTGATAGGGAAGGAGTGTGGGGTATAGGACAGGAACTGGTGCACTATGATGTGGCATCGGACATCGGGAAGAGGCTGAGGTACCAGATTTAAGAATCTCATATATGTCCATGGCTGGGGCTTGGGATGCTATTTGCTAAGGTCTGGGGCCTTAGCAAATTGCTAGGTTCTAGGGTCTGATGTCGTTTGCCAGGTGGCTAGCACACCTTGGGTATCAGGAAGCCACGGAAGGCCGTATCCCGAATGACACGGTGAGGTAAATTCATAGGTATGACGTCTGCGAAGCGCTGCACCTCATGGATCACCGCATCAGTGTAAGGCAGGGCCTTGCGGTCATCCAGAGAAGGTAGCCGAGCGCGCCCCACCACTCTGTCGATCTCCTCCTGCACACGAGCTGTGGGTGGAGGGGGCAGGTGCTGGAGCACCAGGGTAGTGGAGGATACCCATGGGTGCTGCAGGGCAGGGAGCAGGCAGAGAGAATGTGCGTGGGAGAGGTCTTGCTCAAGGTCCCTAGCACCTGGTCCCATGCAGGGTACATGTAGGGCTTAGCCAGAGCTGTTAAAGGAGCGCAAAGCACTGCTTGGTGCAAGGACTCCAAAGGGAACTCTGTTGGTAGGGCTTCAGGAGGGCCTTCTGGGGTGGGATGGGCTGGCTGGTGGATCCAGTAGGTAGGCTGTGAGGGAGGGCTGGTGTGCGGGCAGTGGGCATTTTCAAGGCTCTGCAGGTGACATTTGGGTCCAGATCCCTGCACACTACTGTGTGGGCCCTATACACCTTGTGGGTGAGGTTGGCCTCCATGTGTGTTTGGCTAGGCTACCTAGGCCTTAACTCTGGGCTCCTTTAGGTCTGTGGTGGGTCAGGTGAGTTGGGTTGGGAACTGCAGGCACACCTTGCACTTTTGGGTACTTCATGAGGATGAGGAAGGCATGGCGCAGTGTGGTGCCCACTGTCTCGGTGCCACCAAAGAGCAGGTTGTGCGTGGTCATCAGCAGGGTGTCCATGAAGAAATGGCTGAAGGGGTCCTTTTTCTCCTGTGGGGTTGAGAGGTGGGGGCATGAGCCTGGGCTAGGTGATTCCAACTCCAACCTAGACCTTTGCACCATGTTTGGGTGCAGTCCAGCCCTACCTCTGCCTAGCCTCCTTGCCTTTTACCTTAGGGTACGTGGGAGGGTGGGGTATGGAAAAATCTCCTGGGGGTACAATTCTTGGGCAGGGCTTTAACAGCTTCTTAATGAGCTGTTAATTGCTGGTGGCTCTGGACTAGGCCCAGCCCCAGAAAAGCCAGCTGCCCTAGCTGCCTTAGCTTCTCCAGGATAAAGTCCCTAACCCCATCCAGTCTTGGGTGTGCTTGGGTTTGAGGCTGGAGTAGCAGGAAGGCTTCCTGTTAGACCAGAAGTGGGATTTCCAGGCAGGGCTTACCTGTGCTATCTTGGTGAGGAAGCAGTCGATGAAGTCCCGGGGAGAGTTGGGATCTAGGGAAGCCTGGTGTTCATGGACGCTGCGAGCGATGAGCTCTTTCATGCGCCCGTAGTTCTGGAACATACGTCGATGTGAGCCGGGCAACCAGTCCAGGAGGCTCGGGAAGATGTTGTACATCTGGGGACAGGGCAGAGTGAGATGGGCTTGGAGGAGCAGGCAGGGTATATGTTCAGGAGAAGATGGGGCAAGGCAAGTGGGTCAGGTAGTTGGGGAGCAGGTCTGAAGGCCTGCTAAACTCGGGGTGGGAGGGAGGGGTTGGTGCTGGGGGCTCAGGGGTAGCTCTGTGGAGGGGGATGGCCATGATAACTGGGTGGGGGTGGGTGGCAGCTGCTTCCTCTTGGCCACTGGCCCTGGTCACCCCACTCGCTCAGTCCACTGACCTCGCCCCAGGGTGTGCTCATGATCTGGAAGTTGTCATTGATGAGATGGATGATGGTAAGTAGCCGCTCATCATCGTAGTGGAAGCGGCTGCCGAAGACCACTGAGCATATGATGTTGGACACCGAGCGGCTCAGCATGAACAGAGGATTGAAGGGCTTGCCTGAGGGTAAGGGGCAAACCACGTCAGCTCTGAGACCCAACATGCAACGTGCGAGGCCACCTGCAGCCATGGCTGTGATTTGTGGTCTCACCCAATCCTGGCAACCATTCCTGCAGCACAGAAGGCTTGCATATGCACACGGCCACCCCACACACAGTGTACTGTCGCCCTGACGGTGTTCGGCAGCTGCAGAGACACCACAGAACCCACCACACTAGTGCATCAATAAACATATCACCTACCCAACCACAGAAGTCGGGGCCTGGTGACAAATACAACACACCACAGCATGTGGTAATAAGCACAGAAGACCTATTGGCAACAAAACAATGAATAGAACCACAGTACTTGCCAGTACTACAATTACAAGCATAGGTACTTAATAGCCAGCTGAGAAATACTCCAATACATGGTAACAATATACTGACACAGTACCAGCGTGTAGTGATGTTCTGCAACACAACACAGTGACATGCAATAGCACAGCAGATTGTAGAACATGGCACATGCTAGCACACATATCCCGGGGGAGGTGTTTTCGCATATTATACAGGGGCACACCAGTGTATGGGCCCCCGTGTGATATTTTGTGTGTTGTGTGTGGCTGAACTATGACTTTAGAGCCCACAGAGCTGGTGTGGTGGTCTAATTTTGGCCCTTGGGAGGCTGAGGCAAGGGGTGGAGGGGGCGTGGGGAGATGGGGAGGGAACAAGTTCAGGCCTAGCCTGGGTTCAAGGCCAGAGAGGACTACATAGTGGGAGCTTGTCTCCAAAAAACTAAACAGACAAAAGGCCACAGAAACACCTAACATTCAGCAATCTGATAGGCAGAGCGTAGGGCTGGGGAGATAGCTCAGTAGAATAAGTGCTTGCCTGGCAAGCACAAGGGTCTGAGTTCAATCCCTGGTTCCGCCAAAATAAATAGGCAGAGCATAGAAAACAGATGAAAGCAACATGGCAGCCAAGACATAGCACACAATAGCATACAGGCAGGTGTGGTGGCGCAAGCCTGTAATTTCAGCACTTGGGAAGCCGAGACAGGATGCAAGTTCAAGGCCAGTCTGGGCTACATAGGGAGTGGAAGGGCAACCTAAACTACATGTTGAAACTGTCGTTAAAAAAAAAAAAAAAAAAAAGCACAACCCAGAAAACCAGACCTGAAATTAGACTCATTTTGAATCCTGCTTCAGCTTCTTAATCTTGATGTTACCTGGCCAACTGATTTTTCTGCTCTGAGCTTGTTTTTTCATCTGTAAAGACAGTTGATGACGGTCCTCATGGAGCTGTTGTAAGAGACAGTGATGTATGGATGGAAAGGCCTTGCCTGAGGCCTGACCCATTAGGACTTGGTCACAAACCATGGAGTTGTGGTAAATTGAATAATGGCCGCACAATGATATGTATCCCTGTCTTCAGAACCTGTGAGTAGAATCTTTCACGTTACATGGAAAAAGGAACTTTGCAAATGCAATTAAAGATTCTGAGGAAGAGTACCTTGGATTATTCAGGTGGCCCGATGTGATGATCATTTTTTTTTTTTTGGGGGGGGGTCTTTTTAAAGTCATTCTCTCTGGGGCTGGTGAGATGGCTCAGTGGTCTAAAGCACCTACTTAGAACAAGCTTAGCAAAGCACAGGGACCGCGGTTCAAAATGCCAGCCAGCTCCGCCCCCTGGTGGACTGAGCTGTCCCCCCAAATAAAAATTAAAAAAATCATTCTGTCTATATGGTTCAGGGTCTCACTGTGCAGCTCAGACTCAGTGATCCTTCTGTCTCAGCCTCGTCTATGCTGGGGTTAGAGGTGTGTGCCACCACAACTGGTTTTGGGGCAGGCACCGGTGCCCCTGGGCTGGCATGGCATGCCGTATCAGGATTGAACCCCAGTTCTTGCACTTGCCAGGCAGGCGCTTAGACCCCTGAGCTGCTTCCCCAGTCCTCTTTTGGTCTCAGTATGCATCTCAGGCTGGCTTTAAGCTCACTTTGTAGTCCAGGCTGGTCTCAACTCGCAAGGATCCTCCTGCCTCAGCCTCCAGAAACTGGAATTACAGGTGTGTGCCACCATGCCCAGCTGATCACTTCTAAACGCATCAAAGGGTAATATTATGATGGGGTGGCTGGGATGTTGGAAGCCACCATCTTCCTGGCTTTGGATCTTAAGGAAGGGACCAGGAACCATTAGGCAACATCCAGAGGCTAGAAAAATCAAGAACAGGGATCGTTTCCAGGTTCTCTCGAATGCAGCCCTGTTGGCCCATTTTTATTCCAGATCTTCTGAACTACAAGAGAATGAATCTATGTTTTGAGCCAACATTTGTGGAAAAAAAAATTCAGTTTGGATTTTTTGAGATAGGATCTCATTATGTAGTTCAGACTGGTCTTGAACTCACTTTGTAACCCAGGCTGCCTCAGATTTGCAGTAATCCTCCTGCCTTAGCCTCCCAAGTGCTGGGATTATAGGTATGCACCACCATGCTTGGCTTCATGGGATTTTTTTTTTTTTTCAGCAGCAATAAGAAATTAATAGGGCAGGTGAGATGGCTCAGTGGTCTAAAACACCTGCTTAGGCAAAGTGCAGGGATCACAGTTCCATCCCTGGCATCACATGACATGCCAGCCCCACCTCCAGGGCAGGCTGAGCTAGAGCCCTCCCCCCAAGAAATTAATACAGGCAGCTCTTAAGACTTACATCATGTCATTTAGTTCCTTTGATACCACCTGGCACATCATCACCACCATCATTATCATTTTCCCAAAGCCAAGAAGATACGGAGCTCAGAGAAGAGGACTGTTTGGCATTCTGTGCCTCAGTGTCCTCTCCTGTAATGGGACTGATACTAGGACCTGCTTCCTAGATTTGGGTGATTTTTTCAGAGATGATATACAGAAAATTTTTGGGACAGCGCTGGCATCTGGTTGCCATCCCATAAATGTTGCTCTTCATCTTACTTTTTGCAGGGCAGTGATCAGGATGGAATCCAGGGTCTTGTGCGTGCGTGGCAAGCGTGGCAAGCGTGGCACCATTACACTTCCAGCTCTGCATTGCTTACTTTTCGTAATATTTCTTCCCCTCGGGCCACAGGTTTTTCCTTGGTCTTTTATCCCAGTTCTGCCATATCCTGGGAGTGTGGCTGAACCTTTCAGGGCACTGACTTTTTAGGGTTGCTCTAGGGTGAGACTAGCTTAGGCCTCGAGTTCGGTAGCATGCCTGGTACCCAGTGGACATACAGTAGCCTTACGGTATGAATGTTGACTGTGGACTTGGGTGTCAGGCGTGGGCTTCAATCCTGGCTCCTGTACTTAACTAGCTCTGTTCCGTTAAGCTAGTCTCCTAGCTTCCGGGCTCCATTTCCTCCCCTGAATTTGGATTATCCCTAGGCTTGCAGAGCTAATGTGCAAGCACGTGCTCAGGACTAGGCCCCACATATGGTTCTTAAGAACACGGTCGCTATCCAGTACCATTACACGCAGGGCTCAGAACACCGCAGACATACGGGAAAGCAGCCTCACCAAGCAGGGTGGGGGCTGGGGGACCGACGACGACGCACGAGCTGACCCCAAGCAGCCGCCCTCCAGGGGGCGCCATTCTCCCTGTCACTCACACCTAGGCTCTGGTGCTTCCGAGCCCCGCCCACTGAGTTATTAAGAGGAAAACTGCGCTTGGGGATCTGACCTTCGGTTTTTCGCAGCTCCTCCAGCAGGAACCTGCCTTCCTCCAGGATCCGCTCCTCGATGCTCCTGTTTCCCATCCCGAAGTTGCGGAGAATTTGGAGCGAGAACCTTCTTAGGACCTTCCAGCGCTCTCCATTGGAGAAGGCGATGCCTGGGGGGAGGGGGCAGCAGGTTCAACCAGCAGCTTGCCCCTGAGGCCGCTGCCACCTAAGGTCTCCTTTGCTGACATTTGCCTGTGGATCAATAGAGTTTGACATCTTTTCCTGTCCCCACCAACCCTGCTGATCCTCCAGGCTGGGTTAAGTGCCCCCTCTGGGCTTCTATAGGAGTCCTCTCTGTTGCGATTGCCCCCCGAAGGACCGGGTCATTTTGGTCTGTCACTGTCTGGTGGTGTGACTGTGTCCTTCATGGTGCTGGAAGGACAGCGTGGGGCCTGTATTGGTCACCAGCGTCCTTGGCACTGACTGGTGCACATGTTGTCACAAAAGAAGTGCCAGTGATTGCTTACTGATCACTGAAGGTACAAATGAGATAAGAAAAGTCAACCTCGGGACAAGGCTGGACGCTAGTAGCCCTTTGTACAGTTCTTCCTTTGGGGGGAGGCTGTATTGGGGATTGGATCCAGGGCCTTTGCACTGTACTACATGCCCAGCTCATTTAAATTAAGTTAATTAGGGCCGGCCAGATCGCTCAGCAGATTAAAGCGCCTGTATAGGAAGACGCAGGAACCTGGGTTTGATCCCCGGCGTGCTGGCCAGCTCTGCCCCTGGGGCGCGTGGCGAATGAGACTGGTCATAGTGGTAGACACGCCTGTAATCCCAGCACTTGGGAGGCTGAAAACAGGAGGATCACTAAGTCCAAGTCCGATCTGTAGTGAGACCCTGTAGATCCTGTACTAAATAAAAAAAAAAAAAAAATTAGGGGCCGGGGACATAGCTCAGAGGAATAAGCGCTTCCCTGGAAAGTGCAAGGGCCTGAGTTCAATCAAAGGCCGGTTCTGCCAAAAATAAATAAATAAATAAAATAAAAACAAATAATAATAATTATAGTTCAGGCTGGCCTTGAACTTGCAGTGATCCTCCTGCCTCAGCCTCCTGATGGGATGGATTACAGGCATGCACAACCACCCGAGGCCCACACCTGGCTCATTCTCAGCTCATTGGAAATTAAATTTTTTTTTAAACAGTCTGCTAATTTGCCTAGGCAGGGCTCAAACTTGTGAGTGTCCTGCCTTCTAGAGTGCTGCGATTACAGGTGAGAACCACCATGCCAAGTTTAACCCTGGTCTTCTAACTCCTCATTTTCATCTTTCAAGTCTGAGCTTGGAGGTCGTCTCTTCCAGGATGAGTTTCTTGACTCTTCTCTCCTTGGCTGGGTAGGTCCTTCCATCAGCTCTCACAGCTCCCAGGCCCCAACCCTACCCTGACTACTCTGGGATGACATGTTCTAGCGATGATGCATTTCCCCCTGGACTGGGAGCTACAGCAGGGTAAGGCCTTGGATAGTTCCTCTGATTCCTCTGGATATAGCAGAGAACTAAATGTTGCACAAGGAAGAGAGGGAGGTGGGGGGGGGCAGGAGAAGAGAGTAGGGGAGGGGTAGGCTGCATTGTGTTGCTTTGATGTGTGTACCATTTCACTGACTTTTTGTAACACCTTCTCCTGACAATGGAGTGAGGGTGGGTGGGTGGGGGAACTGCCTGCCTATGGGGCCCTAGAAAGTGGCACAACCCTGTAGTTGCCTCTGTGACCTGTGTGAACTAGTTAGATGGTGGCTATTTTTAGTAACAAAGATGTATTGGAAGAGTAGCAAGGTGACTTTCTCAAGTACTCCATCTAGATCTCTTGCATCTGATGTACCCAGGCAGAAAGTGATAGAAGAAGGAGCTATGAAGAGTGAAAGTGACTTTGCTACCCAACAAGTGGTATTTCATCAGACTGCTCTGATTCCTAGTCTGGGGGCAGAGGGGCTCCATTCCCCAGAGGGGGCAGGGGAACTTTAGGTACTCTTCAAGGAGTGCCTAGGCTAGGATTTCCTTTCAATCAGAATAGTCTTTTTCTCGAGTCATTTTTTGGGGACCTTAGCACATATTTTCTTTGACTAAGAGGTTTGCATTTAAAAAGAATTTGGAAAGCATGAACCTAAGTGATTTCCAACCATAAAGAGAACAGGATATTGCTGTAGAAGAGGTTTGGAGAGAGTGATGTTGGCTGCTGGGTGGGCGGGGTGAAGCTGGGTTTGGACTGGGATGAAGATGGTAATGAGGTATGGAGAGGGTGAGATTCATGCAAATTGGGCTGGTGGTGAGGACAGAACTTGGTGGATGGAGGAGCGGTATGTTGGGGGTGAGCTCGTGCTTGGGGTTGGGTACATAGGTGATAGGATGGGCTGGTGGCTGGCGAGACCCATTGAAGTGGAGCTCAGTTTGACTGGAGGGATTAGAATGTAATATCATAGAATTTAAAATGGAGATTGAGAGGGGGTTCATAATGGGAATGCAGGTAGGGTGAAATGGGGCCATGGTATAGAGTTGATGAGGATTAGGATTAAGCTGGACACCAGCACTGAGACTTGATAACTTGGCCACTTGATTGAGTCAGGAATGAAATGGTGTGGTTTGTGATAGAGGCAGGGATTGGGGTGACAGTGGCTTTGGAGTTGGATGGTGATGGGGATTGGTATAGAGGTACAGTTCCAGATGGTGAGATTGGCAGGTGGCAAAGATGCGACAGACATCACCCTAGATTAGGACTGCCTGGCTCCATCCCATGTGATGTTAGTGAGATCAGTGGCCCTCAATTTCCCCAGGACTGGGACGACAACTTCCCACTCTCAGTTCTTTCCTAAGTATGGAAAATGTTGGGGGTGTCTGGATGAAATGAGGTGGATGCATGCTTACCATTGCCCTTAGTGAAGTTGAAAAATACAGGGTATTCACCACGGCCACTGAATTCCTCCCCCTGGTCCACGAGGGCCTCCTTCACAGCTTGGTACCCGCTGAGGACTACTACCCTCCTAGGCCCCAGGTACACTGTGAACACCGAGCCATACTCCTTGCTCAGCTAGGGGTGGAAGAAAGCAGTTACATGGGGCTCTGGGGCCACATGACTCCCACCCTCTCCCCATTCATCCAAGATCAGGCCTTGCACCTTAGTGAGTGAAGTCAGCAAATCTTGGGATCGAAGCTGAAGCAGGTTGCCCAGGAGTGGGAGGGGCCTGGGCCCAGGGGGCAGCTGGCCTTTGTCCCTTGAGCTGAGGGTCAGGAACAGACAGACCAGAGCCAGGATCAGGAGAAAGATGGCTGTGCTCACACCGTCCATGCCGGAGGCAGCTGCAGGTGTCTAGAAGGCAGAAGGGGACTGGGTTGGGCTGGGAATCTGGGTTTCTCCTCACCACCTTGAATTTTCATCCCCCAGGTCCTGGAAACAGGTCGGGCAGATGGAAAATAGAAGGAGGAAGCAGCACAGACTGGGGGCATATGGAGAATAAAGGAGGAAGGAGGGGAAAAGAAAGGGGAGGAGGAAGAGAATTGAGTTAGAGAAAGACAAGAGATACGGAGACCACAAGAGATGGAGAGATACTGAGGGATACATAGGGGTAATGAAGAATGATAGAAAAAAATGGAGTGTGATCTCTATGTCTATATCTATATCTATATCTATATCTATATCTATCTATATCTATATCTCTATATATATATCTTTCATGTGTCTACTCATCAACGTAACTGTTGGGCTGGGGAGATAGCTCAGCAGTCTAAGTGCCTGCCTAGAAAGCACAAGGACCCAGGTTCAATACCCAGTACATTAGCTGTGCTGGCCCCAGAACCCGGGTGCACAGTGTCAGCCACTGAAACAAGGTGAAGTGGCCTATACCTGTAATCCCAGTGCTGGAGAGGCTAAGACAGGAGGATCACTATGAGTCCAAGCTGTATAGTGTGACCCTGTACCAAATAAATGATTAAAAAAAAGATGCTAAAAAAGATAATAACTATCAAGACTCTAACTTCTTACCAGTGATAGAAATAAGATAGATCAAGACAAAAATAGAGCCAAACAGAGAGAAGCTCCCAGAAAGAAGGATGGATGTAGACCACAGAAAGAGGCAGAACTAGGGAGAGTTAAATCTAGAGAAAGACAAGAGATATGGAAATAGACAGATGTACACTGGGAGGTGGAAAGGGGTGGGAGGGAGAGGGAAAGAGCTCCCAAGCTGGAGAGAGGAAGAGACAGAGCCCCACACAAGACAGAGGGAGCAGAGGGCCAGCACCAGTGCACAGACAGGGAGACACGAAGATTTCCAAAAGAGATTCCCAGGTAGTTTCAGAGACTGAGGGAGTTGGCAAGCTTTCTGCCTCCCCTGCCCCCATATCTCCTGGCCAGCACCCTTTACCCGCTGTGTGGCAGCTGAAATATGTCCCAGAGCTCTGAGTGTGTTTAGGGGCTTGGCAGCTGCTCTTAAACTGTCACTGTCCACAGCCTCCTCCGTGGCTCCACCCCCTTCCCGTGTGGGTGCAGGGAACCTTATCCCTCCCACCTGCTTACCCTGGCCTCTGCACAGCCTCCACTCGCGGCCAGTTGGGCAGGGGCCAAGCGTGGGGCTCATGTCAGGAGCCCTTTTTGCTTGGCCCCTGGGCCCTCCAGCCTGCAGAATGACCTCAGCCTCAGTGGTCCCCACTGTGGTCAGTGGTCAGAGGCTTCTCTCCTGGGCCTGGCTGGCAAAATGATGGCCCAGGAAAGGGCTTGCTCATTTTGATATTCTGGGAACCTGGTTCTATTTCTTGGGTTAAAGCTGTTTCAGCCACTCAGGGGTCATGAGTCCTTGGGCAAGTGTTTTCTCTCCTTGCCATTTTCTCATTTCTGGAGGCCTATTTGTTTTGGTAGCTGTTTCTGCAGTTCTCTTATGGGTTGTCTCTGAAATTTTATGTGTATCTCATTTGGCTGCTGTCATTGCCATCTCTTTAGGGAACAATTTTGTGTCTCTGTCTCTCATTCCCTCTCCTTGTGCCTCCCCCATGTCTCTGGTCTTTGTCCCTCACTCTCTTTTTCTTTCAGCCTAAACCCTGGTAGATCCTTCTCCACTACTGTCTGTACCCATTTCTCTGTCTCATTTCCATGAATCAGATTGCAGTGACCAGTACTGAAGCCACAACGAAGAACCCTGAGGGAAAGGGCAGGCCACTGGAAGGCCTGTATGGAAAGAGGATCTTGCGCTTGAATCCACCCCCTCTTTCCAGTGCAGACTCGCTTATTGTCTTCCTTCTGCCCCCTTCTAGGTCTGTTCTTGGCTCCTGTCTTGGCAGCTGGTCCCAGTTTCCTAACTCTGGTCAAAATCAGATTGTTGAAACCCAGCTGGCCTCCACTCACTAGGGCTGCCCTGCCCAGGGCTAGGGTAAGGGTGAGAGCTCTTGAGGCTAAGGACCTGAGAGACCGGGTGGAGACCTGCCCCTGCAGGCCCTTGGGCGTGCACAGAGCTTGCTTTCCCTGTGGGGTAGGGGAGGAAGCCTGTGCAGGTCTTGGGGAACTTTATACCCCAGGACAGGGTAAGGGCACAAGTGAAGCGGAGGTGGGGCTGCTGCTGTTATTTGAGGCCTGGGAAAGACTTGTTAGAGCAGGTCCCGGAAGAAGTGTGAAGGCTTGATGATAGGATTAAAAGTCTCCAGTTTCCCCTGGTAGCAATTCCCATTCCTAGGAGAGGCTGCACTACTGGATCCACACCCACCCTGTTAACAACTCTTTCCTGGTTCTCAGTGGGGCTGAGACATGCCTAAGTGGATTGCAGACTGCCTCAGTGGCACACCTGGGCTCACTGTAGGGAGCTTTGAGCTCTTAGGGGCTGACTAGCTCTAGCTAGAACTTGGAACCGCGGAGGGGTGCGGTACAGCTTCTTGCCCCAGGGTCATGGGCGTTGGGGCCTGATACCTCCTGTGGGAGGCTGCACCATGCACCGGAGGTTGTTTAGCAGCATCCCCGATTTCTTTTTTTAAGACTTTATTTATTTATTTATTGCAGAACCGGGGATTGAACTCAGGCTGTTGCGCTTGCCAGGGAAGCACTTATTCCACTGAGCCATCTCCCCGGCCCCCATCCCTGATTTCTTTAACAGCCTCCCTGAGGTCCAGAAGCCTTTCCCCCATCGTTATTAGTGGTAGCCCAAGTTAGCTCCAATCACTACCCTCTGGGGGGTAGGGAGAATCAACCCTCAGTGTAACAGAGTCCTAAGCCCTTTTTGCCCAATGTGAGCAACATCAGAGATTTATACAGGGTGACTCTTAGCTGAATTTATCCAGCGTCTACTATTAAGTCTAATCCTGTCTGTCTTATGGCCAGTATCCTAAAACTGTAGAATTTCGACAAAGCTTGCAAAACAACACAAGACAACAAGAGCAAAGCAAACCCAGCCTGCACTGTAGACTTGAACTAAGAACTGTATTGATCAAGATAATTAAAGAAAGCCAAAATTTTTGTGACAACAAGCTTAGTCCTGCCCGAAAGTTCTGAAAGCAAATATTTAAGCATTCCATCATTTTGTTTTTTCTTGAGACAGGGCCTCCCTCTGTACAGTAGTTCAGGCTTGCCTTGCATTTATGATGTAGACCAGGCTGTCCTCAAACTCCTGGTGACCATCCTGCCTCAGCCTCTGGAGTGCTGCGATTATAGGCATGTGCCACTACAACCAGCTACATTTTTGAAAATAAAGAAAATAGCATCATAGTATTTTATGTAACCTGAATTACAAAATAAAAATTTAAACATATATCTAAGTAAATCTTGTTGTCTTAGTTTTTGTAAACATTTAATCCTAACAAGACAATAGAGAAGACAAAATTATTCTGAGTTTGCTATTAAGATATATTAAACTATTAAATTATTTTGGCAAATTTATTATT